GAATATTCAATAAAAATGGGATACATGAGATGCTCATGGTGGATGTGCTGAGTGCTAGAGTTTAGAAAAAAACAGCTGGGTTTTCCAAGGTTGGTTCTTTCTTTTCCCGCAAAGGAACTGAAGTTTAGAATAGAATTATGGAGAAAACATTGGGATGGTGTACTCCTGTAATCTTTCCCAATATCCGGGGTGCAAAAAACAAAGATGAGAAGCAAAAAGAGGCCTTGGGAACCTCCTCAGTAGGGGTCTGACACACCAGGCACAGGCCGTCGCCCTTGGCACCATTCCCTCTAGTTTTCCAAAATGTTATTGCCCACTGGCCCCAAAGGCAAACAACCTGCCTGTTCTGCTATGCCCTTTGCTTTCTCCCATAAAAGTAGATAGGCAGTCCACGCATTATCAGGAAACCAGTGCACCCACAGATGTCCACACGGACAGAAGAAACTATTGAACAAAGAGAATCCTGGTAATCAAATATAACACCCAGAGGCAGCCTGGCTAAATTCACTCCATCACGTGTAACATTTTAAAAATTTATTTATTTATTTATCTATTTATTTATTTATTTTTTAAGATTTTATTTCTTTATTTGACAGAGAGAGAGAGCACAAGCAGGGGGAGCGGCAGGCAGAGGGGCAGGGAGAAGCAGACACCCTGCCGAGCAGGGAGCCTGACGTGGGACTCGATCCCAGGACCCTGGGATCATGACCTGAGCCGAAGGCAGCCGCCTAACCCACTGAGCCACCCAGGTGCCCTTAAATTTATTTTTAATCAACTAGAGTTTTGCCTCAATGTTGTGTGTGTGTCCATGTGTGTCCATCCTGCAAATTCACGGTAATGTGCAAGGAAATTCATGGCAAAGTACAAGTGCTACGCAAACTAAAAAATACTATTATGATTATCCCGATCTTAGGAATCCAATGTCAGCTTGAGCATTACTTCTCAGGTCAACAATACCTTTAAGCAAGTGCCGATGCCAGCTGATAAAATGGTACATTATCCTAGAATATCATGCCCGCCTTCCATTCTTCTAAAACACAGGAGACATTCAATTCTTAACTTCTCAAATGTGGAAAACAAAGTCATTTGCAAAGACTTCCAGTCTGAAATTACTTCCAGCCCTGGATGAGCCACTCCCTGGACACCAAGGAGAGATTCCCTTTGAATAGCTTTACACCCCACGCATGAAGTATTTTCATGGCTTGGACCACTAAGTCCACTTGGAAGGGTATGAGCCCTGGGACAGGCCTGCAGGGCGGGGAGACTGGCTTGTAGCCAGCTGTGGCTAGCATGATAGCTTCTAAATTCCTCTCAAGCAACAGTTCTACAAATGACCTCCTTTCTCCTTCCCTGTTCCTTTGTATAGGCAATTACCCCAGTCATCCAGAGGCTAATGTGGATGCCATTTTGAGTCCTCGGGTCTTTTATTCCCTAGACAGGATCAGACATCAGAAGCTTCTGTTCTTCCTCAAAACTTCTCTCATATCAGTTCTTTCTGTCATGACCCTAGTTGTCCATTGGCTTCTTAAGGCCTGACAGCTTTCATCTAAATGCTCAGAATGGAAGACTTCTCAAAACTGAAGTGCTGTTCACCTCAGTTCCCAGTTTTATCTTCTGCCGCGTTCTTCCCAGTGTAACCTTCTGCCCAAGCACCCATACCCTCTCTTGTATATGCTCTGTAGTATTTCCTGCTACTGTAGCAAGTTACCAGAACCTTAATAACTTAATGCAAATTTATTGTCTTCCAGGTCTCGAGGTCAGAAGCCTGATGGGGTCCTACTGGACGAAAATCAAGGTGTGTACTGGGCTGAGCTCCTTCTGGAGGCTCTAAGGGACAAGACTTCTCCTTGGCTTTTCCAGCTTTCATAGGCTGGCAGGCCCTTTCCTTGGCTCCCAGCCCCCACCTCCATCTTCAAAGCCAGTGATGCTGCACCGATCCTTCTCATGCTACCTCTCTGGTTCTCCCTCTTCTGCCTCCCTCTTCCACTTTTAAGGACTTTTAAGGATTCTTGTGATTACATTGGGCCTGCCTGGATAATCTAGATTAGTCTCCCGGTTTAATGTCCGATGCTTAGTAAACTTAATTCCCCTTTCCATGTAGCCTGATTTATTCACAAATTCTGGGAATTAGGACATACACATCTATGGGGAAATGTTATTCTGTCACAAGCTCTATCCTATTCTCTGACCCCCATACTCAAGAAATGCTTTTATTATGCCTCATTTTGCAATTATTTTAGCAAAATCAATTAATTGAATGTTGTTCCTAAAACCTTATGTTTAAATTAAGTAAGACTAGTAGTTGCAAATTACACATTTAGAGGTCTGGATTTATATTTTTAGGGAAAAAAAACCATGACATTGAATGGCCATATGCATGCTCACTTTGCATTATAAAGCACACTGGTCCCCACTCTGGAGATCCTAATAAAACACAAACCATGTTTTTTTTTAAGATTTTGTGTATGTTTGACAGAGAGAGAGAGACAGCGAGAGAGAGAGAGAGAGAGAGAACACAAGCAGGGGGAGTGGGAGAGGGAGAGGGAGAAGCAGGCTTCCCATTGAGCAAGGAGCCCAATGTGGGGCTCGATCCCAGGACGCTGGGATCATGACCCGAGCCGAAGGCAGACGCTTAACGACTGAGCCACCCAGGCGCCCCTAAAACACAAACCATTTTAATATCTAATTAACTTAAACTAACTATACTAATGATACTGCTTAATTATATTTTATAGTCAAAAGCACTATGTTTCAAATGTAAGTATTTTAAAAGACAGAGTCTAATGCTATATGTAAATTATTTCTGCAAGAGTCATTCCTACATTTTGGGACCTGTAGCAACTTTTAGCTTCAAGTTCTGTGGTTGTTACTGCTTCCTTAGGCTCTAAGAAGGGAGCAGACACAGGCGACGATAGGTAAATTACTTATCCTCTTAGTCTGAAACACGGTGCAAAAAATAAAGGCGTTAAATAAGGGGCTGGTGCCTGGGCTATGACAGAAATCACTTCTTACTATCTTTCCAATATCAAGCCATTAAGAGAAAGGACACTAGAGACAGAGGGAAAAGCAGGAGCCAAAGGCTCCTGAAGAGATCTTCAGGGGGTGAAGTACTTGGCTCTTACCAACGTCATGCTGATACTACTAGAACAAGTTCAGATGTGCAGTGTTTACCAAAACTGACAGATTAGAGAAACTTTTTGTCCCTTCCCAGGAAAGCCTTCTCTGCTCACCTCCAGAGCAGAAGAGGTCTGGAAGCTATCTGCTCTTACAGAACCTTATACTTCTCCTTCACAGCATTCACCACAACCCTCAGACACATTATTTTTGTAATTGTTTGATGTGTGCCTACCAGGTGACTGCCTTGCTTACCACCGTATCCTTAGCTTTATCACAAAGATTGGTTCATCCTAGGCAATTTAAATGTTTGATGAATTTAATAAATCCTCAGCAGAGAGGGCAGAGGCTGTGTTTTTTTTGTTTGTTTTTTTGTTGTTTAAATGTTTTTACTTTTGGTACTGTGAAGCACTTCAGGCAAAAACAGTGTCCTCAGCTCTCAATCAGCGTTTTCTGAAAGGACCCATATCTCACTCATTAGGAACTCTACATGATGTACTAGCTGAAGCCACCCGAGAGGCTCCTTCCAGTGTCTTTGTTGAAAGGAAACAATATGAACTCAACAGGTGGTACATGAAGATAGATTTTCTTCGATGTCACTTGTAGAGGGCTTTTAGAGTAACCTGTCAAAGTTGCGGCGTGGGAACTAAATTCGTTGTGACTTTTCTCTTATATTTTGAAACGGTAGTTCTCAAAATGTGGTCCTGGACCACTTATTGGTATCACTATTGCTGGAAATGCAAATCCTTAAGACCTCAGGGTAGTCCTGATCAATGAGAAACTCTGGAAGTGGGGCTCAGCAATCTGTTTTAATAAGTCTTCCAAGTGATTCTGATGCATGCCAAAATTTGAGAACTACTCTCTTAAACCAAAGTTTAAGTCCCCTCTAACGATTAATAGTCCTTTTGGCTACCTCTGCTCCTGACGTCTATGATAGCCCAGACTATAGATGCCCATTCCACGCATATGTGTCCTGCTCGGTCTGTACATTCCCTCCGCAATTCATAGTGTTGTGAAAAGCCCAGCGATGCTCATATGTGGCACATGTGCCGGTCACAGGAACTTCCTTAGGGTATTAGGATAAGATGGGCATCTGAAAGTAGTTTGTTCATTAAACACATCAAGGAAGCAGTAGCAACTACTGATAGATGACACCGGAATGACAACCCAAGGAGGCTGATTGCCAAGATGAGTTTGAAATTTGCATGTTGTGCTTTGGGGGGAGAAGAAGGTGAGGAGGCACCTCTGTATACGTGGTTGCTATTCCTCTTGTGAATTTTCACGTCACTACATTAATAGTGGAATCCTGCATTTTAGTTCAGAAAAAATACCGCCCAGTGCCAGTTTTCTCCAAAATAAACCTCAATTATCCAAGTCAAGTGGTTGAACTAGGGGAGGGTGGGGCGGGAGATGCAGAAGATAACCTGGCTAGGATGGCTTTCTTTTGCTAAGGACCGGCTCTACTCATTCCTTGCCTCACGTCCTTCTACTGGTTTTTCTTTTCCGGGGCCTCGTCCTCCCCGCTTGCCCCGCCGGCCGCGCTCGGCCCTTCAAGATCAGAAGTGGCCACGAGGCCCGCTCGGCCCCCTCGGCCCGCTCGGCCCGCAAGCGAACACAGATCTCAGGAGGTGAGGGCGGCCTCCGCCGCGGAGGAAAAGCTGAGAACGGGGACGGCTGCCCTCGCGCGGCGCTGGGACGCAATCTGCAGACGAGGCAGCGGGGTCTCTTCCGCCCGGACTCAGGCCCGTGGCCCCGCCCCCTTTGCCGCACGCAGGGGAACGCTCCGCGCCCGCGACGACTCCGCCGGCGGGTGGCGAGCGCGTGTCGGCCAATGAGGTGCCAGGAGCGAAAAGCGGTGACCAATGAGACGCTGGGAGGGTCTGCGTGGCCGACCAATCGCGACGCCTGGCACCCGGATATGATTGCGGGTTCTGAAACCCCGCTCTGAGGGAGTGTGAGGGGTTCCGCACGTGGGGCAGGGGCTGTGAGCCGGGAGGACGGGTGAGGGTGTATTGGGTTCAGTGTCTCGCGCGTGGGGCTGACGTGTTGTCTTTGGGTTTTGAGCGGGGGATAAATCAGTGTGGTTATTGGTCGTGGGAAGAATTCCACTGCAGGGGGCCGGCGCCAGCGTGAGTGGAAGCCTACCCGATGGTACCTCAGACGGCGAGTAGGAGGGTCTTGAAGGCGCCGCTCGGACAGTGACAATATGAACCTCTTACCCAAAAGCTGCCAGGAGTTTGGCTCCGTTGACTATTGGGAGAAGTTCTTCCAGCAGCGAGGAAGGAGAGCTTTCGAGTGGTATGGAAGCTACCTGGAGCTGTGCGGGGTGCTGCACAAATACATCAAACCCAGAGAGAAGGTGAGCGCGGCCTGGCGGTCCCGAGTGTGTGCTCGGGAATGTGGGAACGAGAGCGTTAATCCTGCACTCGGTGGATAGCGACAGGGCCGTATTTTAGTAAGAAACGGGGCCCGTATTTTCCGGATTCTGTGCGTCACTCGGCTAAAAGGCAGTTTTAAAATGTTCTTTTAAAGGTGTTCAAGTAAGAGACCTCCTGCTCCCAGCTCATCCTTGAATTAGTAATCCCACTGGAAGAGTGACTTTAGTAGTCCAACCTAGCTATCGCCCCCTCGAGCAGTGGTGTGCGTTTCTGTCACTGTCCGTCTCTGTAGAGCAGATAATACCTGTGGCTTTACTGATACAGGAGTCTTTTAACGGAGTGGTTGTTGCTGGCACACTGAGTTTCAGGCACTGTGCTCAGCTTATAAGCAACAAGAACCCCAAGGCACGTTCCAGGAGTGACAACTGCTAAGTACAATGCTAGGGGTTTGATGGAGATGAAGTGTACTGGAGGTGGGGGAGAAAGAAGGATAGAAAGGTGACATTCGTGGAGGATGCTCTAAGTGCCAAGACTTTTGCTGAGTGCTGTGTGTGTATGTGCCTTCAACAGTTGAAATCTCATAATAACTGTAAGGTTCATTCATTGTATTGATTTGGAAACTGCGGCTCTGAGCGCGTTTCTTGTCCAAGATCATACATGTAGTGAGTGGTCACATGGGAATTTAAACTCAGCCCCATTCAGTCCAAGGCTTATGCATTTCCCACCAGGCTGTTCCAGAGATGGTGACAGTGGGGCCGAATTTTGAAGGTTCAATGGGCGATTGCTCCACAGAGAGGGAGGCAACAGCTTTAAGTTTGGCTTTAGAAAATAGCAGAATAAAGGCACCTGGGTGGCTCAGTCAGCTAAGTGTCTGACTCGAGCTCAGGGCAAGTCTTGTCCTCTGCGTTGTGAGTTCAAGCTGTGCCTTGGGCTCCGTGCTGGGGGTGGAGCCAACTTAAACAAAACAAACAGAAAAAAGACAGAGTATCATGAGGTGTGCCTTTAGGCCTGAGGGAATAGGGCTTTGGCACAGTAGGTTTTCCATAGTAAAACAATTTGGATTCTGTGACTTCCTATCACTTCTTGAGTAATCAGTGCTTGCTTTAGAGAAAGAACAACCAGGATTAGCTTGTTTTTGCAGTATGGAAACCCATTTTTACATAGCTTGCATTGTGTGACTGAATGTGGTTTTCACCGGTGAGTTTCTCTAAGCAGTAGTGTTTCAGGATGGAACCTAGAATCACCTCTGTAATGGTGCTCTCTGCTGACAATAACCTTTACACCTTCTGAAAAGTGAACAGCCAAGGTGAGACTTGAATCCTGGAAGTGTCTGCAGGTCATTCTTTTGCCTTGATTACCTTCACCTTGTTGGCTTTTTCCCCTCAGGTGCTGGTGATTGGGTGCGGTAACTCAGAGCTAAGTGAACAGCTGTATGATGTGGGCTATCAGGATATAGTGAACATCGACATCAGTGAGGTGGTCATCAAGCAGATGAAGGAACGCAATGCCAGCCGACGGCCCCAGATGAGCTTCTTGAAGATGGACATGACACAGATGGAGTTTCCTGATGCTTCGTTCCAGGTGGTGTTGGACAAGGGCACCCTGGACGCTGTCCTGACAGATGAGGAGGAGAAGACCCTGCACCAAGTGGACAGGATGCTGGCTGAGGTTGGCCGTGTCCTGCAGGTGGGCGGTCGCTACCTCTGCATCTCCCTGGCTCAGGCTCACATCCTGAAGAAAGCAGTGGGTCACTTCTCCCGGGAGGGGTGGATGGTGAGGGTGCACCAGGTGGCCAACAGCCAGGACCAGGTGTTGGAAGCAGAGCCTCGGTTCTCCCTACCTGTCTTTGCCTTCATCATGACCAAGTTCAGGCCAGTCCCTGGCTCTGCCCTTCAGATCTTTGAGCTATGTGCTCAGGAGCAGGGCAAGCCTGTGCGGCTGGAGAGTGCCGAGCGGCTGGCCGAGGCGGTGCGGGAGCGGCAGCAGTATGCCTGGCTGTGCAGCCAGCTGTACCGCAAGGCCGGGCTGGGGAGTGTATCTCTGGACTTGTGCGATGGGGACACGGGGGAGCCACGCTACACACTCCACGTGGTGGACAGCCCCACTGTGAAACCATCGCGGGACAATCATTTTGCCATTTTCATCAGTGAGTTGGGATTGCTCCCTCTCTTCCCTGGAGGGGCTGGCTCATAGGGGCTGGGGCTTTGGTGGATGGGTACACCGTGGCTGGTTTTATCTTGCAGGGGGTGGCACTTCAAGAGGTTAGACTAGCCCAGGCATGAGGAAGGGGGAATAGCGCTGTCCAGCTACCTGCTTAAGATTTGAGGCTTATTTCTTCACATCTTCCATTGCAAAGGCTTGGTGTGAGAATGGGTTTGGTAGGGAGGAGAGAGAGGGATAAATTAGGTAAGTCTCACAGCATAGAGAGTTACTTTGTAACATGGAGTCATGGAAGCAGCAGAGTCTCAGCTCTGTAGCCTGTGAGCTGCACGACTTGGGGGAAGTTGGCTGTGCTTTTCTGCTGAATTTAGGGATACAGTACAGAGTAGTAGCTAAAAAAGTGACTATTTGGGTTCCAGTTCTAGCTCAGTCCCTTCCTGGTGGTGTGACCTTGGACGTTCCTTTTCTTTCTGTGCCTGAGTTTTCTCATCTATAAAGTGGGATTGTTAACTGTGTTGTGTAGGTGTGAGAAGTATAAAATCTCTTAGAGTGGTGCTTGCACATAATAAGTGCTTAACAAACAAGTGGCATTAGTGAAGGGTATAAATGATACCTGATTTACCTCAGTAATGATCAAAAGAAATAGGATGATGAAGTACTTTCAAAAGTAGAAAATTCTAGGGTGCCTGGGTGGCTCAGTCGTTAGGCATCTGCTTTCGGCTCGGGTCATGATCCCAGGGTTCTGGGATCAAGCCCCACTTTGGGCTCCCTGCTCAGCGGGAAGCCTGCTTCTCCCTCTCCCACTCCCCCTGCTTGTGTTCTCTCTCTCACTGTGTCTCTCTCTGTCAAATAAATAAAATCTTCAAAAGTAGGATATTCTAGACAAAGGCAAGATGTTGAAATCATCATGCTGGTAATTTGCTGACAAGTGAGCTATTTTCCCAAGTATTCCATAAGCCTACCTGTCTACTTAGGGGAACAAATAGTAAAGTCGATACAAGCACGGAGCCTGGGGCTTGGCTGCCTGGGTTTGAGCCCCAGCTTCACCATTTACTAATTGTATGAACTTGGGTAAATAATTCCATTCTGTGTCTGAATGTCCTTGTTTATAAAATGGGAACAATAATACCACCTGCATCTTAGACTCTTGTGAGGATTCAGTTAGTTTCTGTTTGTAAACTTCTTGGAATTTTGCTTGGCATATAATAAGTGTTAGTATTACTGCTATTTTTCTTGCACTAGGTACCTGCCTCTCCCCCTTACATGGTCACGTAGGTCCTACCACGTGTCTGATGGCTGCTTTGCTCAGGGCATTGTGCACTAGGGAATTGATAGCCCTCAGTGGGTCACAGTTGGAAGGGATGCTGGGCCTATGCCGGGGCTGACTTTGCCATGTAGGTCGTATTGGTTGGGGCTTAAACACTCTTCCCTGGACTCCGTGTCACCAAGTGCCTCTTTCCAGTCCCCCAGGGTCGTGAGACTGAGTGGCTCTTTGGCATGGAGGAGGGTCGGAAGCAGCTGGCGGCCAGTGCAGGCTTCAGGAGGCTGATCACAGTGGCCCTCCACCGAGGCCAGCGGTACGAAGGCATGGACAGCATTCAGGCTGAGCTGTCAGCCAGAGTCATGGAGTTGGCTCCTGCCGGGATGCCCGCCCAACAGCAGGTAACAGAGCTCTGGCAACAGCTTTCATGGATCTCTAGAGAAGTCATATTAGCAGCCACGAAGGCAGACGGTGTCTTAGAAGGAGCTAGGATGAGGGTCTCTGCCCCTAGTCTATTCCTGGAGGGCATGTCAGCAGCTCAGAACTAAGTGGGGAGTACTTATGTTCTCTTGCCCCAGGCAGTGAGAAGAAGGAGAGAGGTTGGTCTTTTGAGACCCCCAGTAGCATCTGTGTTTGTGGGGCCTCTGAGACTCCACAGAGATGAAATGCTCTCTACCTTGCAGGCTCCAGCTCTTTATACTTTGGATTGTTCAGACTCTGTTTCTCCTTACCCTCTTTTGTGCAGACCTTCCTTGAGCATTTTGCTTCTTAGAACCATCATTATCTGAGTGTAGAATGGAAAAGAGGCAAAACGGCTCAGGTTAGTTTTCAGGATATTAGCATTGCTGGTCTGGTATTTTCCTGGGAAGGAAACAAGGTTTTTGCTGACATTGTCTCATTCCATCCTGCTGATGGCAGTTGACAGGTGAGTGCATTACAGGTACTTTATCCGTGGTAGATAGGAAAGCCAAGGTCCCTGGGGATTGTTGCTGTAGTAACAGATCTGAAAAGATGAACCTAGACTTCCAGGTTCTAGCCTGTGGTTCTGCCCACTACGCTGTCTTGTGTTTGCAGATGAATGTGTGTTTGATTCTTTCTGGCAGACTTTGGGGTTGGTGTCCATCAAAGAGATGTAGATCCTGTGGGGAGGTCATTTGGGACCTTCTCTCCAGTGCCTGCATCTCTGCAAAGTCAGGGGTCCCTGGTGATTATTAAATACTCTTGGAGGTCTTTAAAAGAAATAGAAGCAAAGAATGGGAAGGGAAATGGAGAAGTCTAGGGGAAAAATGTATTTTTCTCCTAATTTTTTCTCCTGTTTAGAAAAATGGGGAAAAAGATGAGAGTAATTGGGGGAAGGGGGAGATTTCTCCAAACTTGGAATGGTTGCTTTCTCTCTGGATTTTGTTCTCTTTATCCCTTTACTTTGGTTTTCCAAAGAGTGAATTGAACCTTTTGTGATCTGTTGAAAGGCCCCAGGAAAGTTCTTTAATAGAATGGCAAATCTTGGAAATTCTTGCTGTCCTGAACCTTGGTATGGGGATTCCTCATACACACACAAAGGGAAAGGATTATTTTTCATTGTTTTTTAATTGAGCTGGTGTTTGACCACATCTCTGTTATATCTTCAGGTGCCCTTTCTGTCTGTGGGTGGGGACATCGGGGTCCGGACCGTTCAGCACCAAGACTGCAGTCCCTTGAGTGGCAGCTATGTGGTCGAGGACGTGCAGGGGGATGACAAGCACTACTTCCGGCGGCTGATCTTCCTCAGCAACAGGAATGTGGTGCAGTCAGAAGCCAGGTTGCTGAAGGATGTGTCTCACAGAGGTGAGGTGTCATCCGCACACTGGTGGGACCCAAGTGGACGTGGTCTGGACTCTGCATTTGGGGTGGTCAGACTGACCTGGGAGATTGGCCAAGATGTGGGACACACCTGGGTACCTAATGATCAGAGGCACATGACTCTGCAAGTTGTCCTGTTACCATCTGGGCTCTTCAAGTGTAAACGGCAATAAGCAGAAAGGAGGTATATGTTGTTCTTGAGCAAAGCCTGGGTCTCAAATGATAAGGGGCTGGGGTGGTGGTTTACCAAATAGATGTGGTTATCACTTTAATGCCTTCAGTTTAGAGGCCATCCGTTTTGTACGTTGCTCCATATGCATCTGTTTTGTGTTAATTCAGTAAACTTCTGTGAGGTGAGCCAGAAACGCCTCGTGGCGTGGGTTCTTGAGTCTGATCAAGCTCGCAACAGCACAGTGCTGCTGGTATGGCTTGCTTTCCACGGACTAGAGTGCCGAGCACAGGACCTCATCATCTCTATCTCTCATTTAGCCCAGAAGAAACGGAAAAAGGACAGGAAGAAGCAGCGGCCTGCTGACACTCCAGAGGACCTCCCCACAGCCCCAGGGCAGTCCATTGACAAGAGTTACCTGTGCTGTGAACACCACAAAGCAATGATTGCGGGCCTTGCCCTGCTCAGAAACCCGGAGCTGCTCCTAGGTGAGGGAGACTCCGCTGCCTGCCACAGGAGGGGGCGTGTAAGATGACAGCTGTCTTGTGGTTTGAGCACAGCGATTACAGACCAACAAATGCACATATATTCATAGTTTTCTTCTTCCCATTCTTCTTCTAAGTTAATAAACATCCAATAGCTTTTCCCACAAACTCAGATTGTAATCTCAAAATGGCTGCACATGTGGGTGTCTAAATTTTTTCATTATTCATTTATTTAAAATATTAAAGTATAAAATGTATTCAGTGAGGTACATAAAGTACAGATTTTAAGTTGTTCAGTTTGATGAGTGTTTGCATGTGTGTCTACCCATGTAACCAGATGGAACATTTAAAAATCATGACTCCAGAAATTCTTGTGCACTTGAGAAGAATTTCTGGCTTTCAGTAATGTATTATTTGAGCACCAGATGCAATTCTTTCTTGTATTTCTACTTAATTAAAAAATCTGTATTATAGGTAGAACAATCATAGCCTTATTACTAATAACAGGTTTGGATCTGACCACAGTAGCAAAAATGTTCATTTTTCTGTCTGGGCTTGTAACTGTTCACCCAAAGTCCTGAGTATGTCTTACTGAAACATCCTATACTTCCAGCCTATCTTGGTGTTGATGTATGTCCCTGGCGTCTCAGTTCTTAGGTTTAATCCTCAGATATTAATCTTACATTTAATGTCTCCTTTCAGTGATTCTTTCTTATTTCTTGTCTTCTGTCTGCCTGTGATTGCTGAGGTTTCTCTGTACTTAGGACTAGGATTTGGGCCTTTGTTTTCCCGTGATTTCTGGAACTTGGATGGATTGCCGTCGGTGGGTTGATGTTTCTGAGAGGGCAGCTGTGGCCTTTGAGTTGAAAGGGGGGCAGAGGGCATTGCACCTATATTGCCTTGTGATCATGAGCAAGATGTTGGCCATTGTCCCTCCCAATTCCTAGGGGAAGTCTAATAACGCTTATGGTGGGGACTGTTGATATGATGTCAGCTGAGTGCTTTGGGATCTTTAAGGGTCTGTAATAATAACACACAGCTTCTGGATCTAGTAAAGGAAGGATTGTGAGGCCACGGTTGAGTTTTCAGATGTCAGACTGGCCCTAAAGTTCTGGGATGAGACAGAGGCTGGGCCTCTAAATCTTGTATCCCCTGGGCAGAGCCAATAATCCAACTCCCTCCTTTGCCTTCCCCAAGGCTGGTACAAAACTTTCAGTGAGCAGATTGTCAAATGATGCTTTATTTCTTTATTGCAGAGACCCCACTGGCATTGTTGGTGGTAGGCCTGGGCGGGGGCAGCCTCCCCCTGTTTGTCCACGATCATTTCCCGAAGTCCTGCATTGATGCTGTGGAGATCGACCCCTCCATGTTGGAAGTGGCTACCCGGTGGTTTGGCTTCTCCCAGAGTGACCGGATGAAGGTCCATATTGCAGATGGACTGGACTATATTACCAGCCTGGCGGGAAGAGAAGGTACTGCTATTAGAGAATTTGGAGGGGTGTTGAGGGAAGAGTCGTCCAGAGTCGGCAGGCCTGCAAGGGCCTCTAGAATTCATCTTGAACAATTAGCATTGTCCCAGTCTTTCACCCGTTGATTTGTTCATTCATTGTTTGATGTATTGATTCAGTAAATCTGGAGTGCCAGCCATGTGCCCAGCACTGTGCTAGGGGCTGGGGTACAGCAGCACATAAAACCGACCGTTTCTGCCCTTTGGGTGCTGACAGCTCAGTGGGCTTTTCTCCTGGTTCTCTTCTGGCTCTGTGTCCTTGCCACTTCCTCATCCTCCCAAGGAACCTAAGGTCTGTAGCCAGGTGAGGAAAAGGGGAAGAAAAGTTGGGGTGTGTGTTGGGAGTTGTTTTTTTAGTCTTTGAGCTGCGGGTGAAGCAGAGAGAGAGCCAAACAGCATTCGTGTAGATCAGTGGCTGTACACCTGGGGGCATCGGGCAGTGTCTACACACATGTCTTTGGTCCTTATAACCACAGGGTGAGGGTGCTTCTGACAGTGAGTGAGTAGAGACCAAAGATCCTGGTAAATATCCTTCCGTGCACAGGACACCCACCCCTGACAAAGAATTATCTGTCCCCAATGTCAGTAGTGCTGAGGTTGAGAAACCCTGAAGCAGATGCTACTCAGCGGGAGTTCTGGTGGCCGTGCTGCTGCTGGAGTTAAGGCTCCATTTTGCTCTAATATTTCCTATCTCAGACTTAGGACAAAAGGCATATTAATGTTCTGCAATAGCTCCTGTGCTTCTTTTGCCTCTTTGTATGTAGGCTCCTGGGGACTGGTGCTTCCCGGAGCAGGAGTCCCTCAGGGAGAAGTCAGTCAGGTTGGTTCAGTTAAGTGAACCTGGGAACTCGGGCCACCCACCCTTCCTGGTCTGCCCATTCCATAACTGATCCTCGTTCTCACTGGATCAGAGCATCTCCCAGTTAGGGTATAGCAAAGCAGGATGCCCGGGGTGAGTACTTTGGTGCTGGGATGGACAGATGGTGCAGGAATTTTAATTGCAAACTGAACTTAAGTATATCAAGAGTTTCACAGGTTACCTGTCTGAGGCTGGGGCCAGTGTGGGGGTCCAGGCCCAACACAGCTAGTACATGGGAAATATTTAAAACTGCACTAGGCTCATGGCAGGCACTCAAGTCTGTGATGTGTTGCCATCGTTACTGCCTGTCAGTCAGGTTTGAACAGCCTGGCAATCGTCTCTAACAACCACCTTCCAGATTATTGGAGGGCTCACTGCTACAAATGTGGGCAGTGGATATCCTTGGACTTTGATGAGCCAACATGTTCTGCTCTCTAAGAAACCAAAACGAGATCTGTGCCATGCACAGTAATGGGCATGACATAGTAGTCCTGTGTCAATATTTAATTAGTGGATAATCATTATCATAGTCTCAGTTTGCTGAAAGTCCGTAGCATTGCAAGCTGGCCCTTGTAAAAACTATTTCCATTATAGCAAGGAGTGCATCTGATGCTTCATCGGTTCTTTCTCGCCCATTTAGCAAAATCTTTCTTGAGCCAGCTATTGTTCAAGTACTAGAAAAGATATGCTAACTTTTTTTTTTTTAAAGATTTTATTTATTTATTTGAGAGAGAGAGAATGAGAGATAGCACAAGAGGGAAGAGGGTCAGAGGGAGAAGCAGACTCCCCTCTGAGCAGGGAGCCCGATGTGGGACTCAATCCCGGGACTCCAGGATCATGACCTGAGCCGAAGGCAGTCGCTTAACCAACTGAGCCACCCAGGCGCCCCAAGATATACTAACTTTAATTTCAGAACATTTTCTCCTGAAACCATTTGCTGGGTCAGCCCCTAAAGACTTAGGCAGCTGCTTTGCCTAAATCAATAGTTCTCAATTCTACCTGTATTTTGAATTACCTGGGAGTTTAAGAAAAATACCTGAGACTTCCTATCTCCCCTTCCACCTGTTCTTTCCCACACCGGGGTTTTTGACCCTGAAATATTGAAGTATTTTGAATATTCCCAGGTGACCCTAATGTTCTCCTGGGATTGAATTATTACTGGTATAGATGGACTCTTAACCAAGTAGTAATCATGCTAGCAGAGATCCCATGAATGTGTGTGCTTATGGAAGGTGCTTTTAAATGTGGAGGAAAAGATCAGGTAAAAGCCCTGTCTGTCATGTGGGGTGCTCACAGCAGAACCCTGAAGGACAGCGACTCCCCTGGACAGTGACGTCAGTGCCCTTACAGACAAACCACAACCTCCATGTCATCCTTCTGACTTAGCCACGTGCAGCCACCACAGGTCACAGGGGACATACGGTGTAGGAAGGTAGATGGTGTTAGACAAAGATTCATTTGCTTCCCTTTCCCAGCATGGCCCCACTACAGTGTTGTCGTGTTTGATGTCGACAGTAAGGACCCAACACTGGGAATGAGTTGTCCACCACCAGCTTTTGTGGACCAGCCTTTCCTGCAGAAGGTCAAAAGCATCTTGACTCCTGAAGGTAGGAGATACAAAAGGTTGGGGAGGGAGGAGGGATGGGTCCTTTAAAAATTGTTTTCTTTTTAATGAAAAATGGGCCTGTCATAAGTGTGTAGCTCGATGAATTTCCCTGAATTGAACACACCCGTTTACTCTCATCAAACACAGAACACTTGTAGCCCCCCCAGAAAGTCCACCTCTTACCTCCTTCTAGTAACTCCTCCTCTCAAGGATAACCCGTATCCTAACCTCAGTCAGTTCAGCTTAGTTTTGCCCATTTTTGTTCTTTCTGTAAATGGAATCTTAAAAAATGTATTCTTTGTGTTTTTTTCTTTCATTAACATGGTCTTTGCTTCATCCATAGTGTGTACATTGTTCCTTTATAGTGTGGTGTAGTATCCTTATGTGACTATTACCACATTCATTTCTCCATTCTGTCATTGGTATTTGGATTGTTTCCCGTTTGGGGCTTTTAAAAGTAGTCCCTGCTCTGGTGTTGAAGTCCAGACTCCTCCATCTCTGCCCCCAAAAGGAATCTGCGTATTTGGAAAGGTTGGTGCTTGCCATGAGCATGACACGTGCCTCCCAGCCCCTCAGAGCCTGCACTAGTGATCTGGCATCACCAGACACTGGCCTTGATCCAGGTCCCTTCTCTCCTGACTTCCTCAGGTGGCCCAGGTGCAGTATGCATCCAGGTAGCCTGCACCTGGGGCCCTCCAGGCTTGGGGAGTTGTGGTTGGTCCCTAAGTACCTGCCAAGCCTCCAGTCCTGTAGGAGCCCACCGCCCCCAGCAAACCTTTTTTAGGGTGCTGCTTTCTTTGGACAGCAGTTGGTCCCCCTTTGGACCGGCTGCCAGAGGCCCCCAGGCTTACCAGTAATGAGGCCTCCAGGGGTGTCTTGTTGAACACTGCCCTAGGTGGCCACCTGGCAGTCCAGACGCCCTCCAGCTTTCCCTTCAGGGCGATTGTGCACACTGGAGTAGGTTGCATCTGGGATTTATATATATGCCTTATAGCCGGGACAGCCCATTCCCCGGCTGCTTCTCCAGACATTTGCCTTCCTCCCGGCCTCTGACTGCCCTGACTTGGGCGGCTCAAGCATGTGCACTACGGGCCCTCCAGGTCTGTGGCGCTCCTGCTTGTGCAGTTACCTGCTGATCTTTGTGGGCGTAGGGATCCCGGCCCCAAGAGGCCTTCTGAGGTAGCAGCTGGAAACTGAAGGCAGCCAGTCCCAAGCTGGGTTGCTGGCTTCTCTGCCACTCTGTAGTGCCGGGTGTGTCTTACTGGAAGGTAGCACCACTGCTTGGTGGGGCCTGGGGTCCAGGCTCTAGCCCCAGCCCAGTGGGGTAGGCCATTTTTTCCAGCTCTACATTCTGGGGAACTATGAGCATCGATGGTAGGATAGGGCTTAGAATGAGGCAGGTGCCAGGGGCCCTAAATAGCCCCCTTTTCTGAGCCAAGCCTGTCTTGTCATTTTGCTCCTCTCAGCTGCCACCTCCTATGCATGGGCAGTCTGCAGCCTGTTAGCAAGCCTTGGTTTTCAGGGAACATCCCAGGTCCCTAAAGTTTTGAATGATCTCTGGCACCTGAAGGACTCAGGGTGTGAAGAGCTTATACCCTGAAAAATATTTCTTAGTCTCCTTTTGATACTGGGAACTTTCAGTCCCCATTTGGACCAACTATTTGATTGTGTCCTGGGCTCTTCCAACAGTCAGGCTTTCAGGTGTCTCTTGGAGGTTATCCTGTGTGACTTACTCATACCTGCCCTTGCAAGGCAGTCCAGATTTTTCTAGCTCTGCCTTCATTGGGACCTTTCATATTTTTGAATGTTTGTGCTTGGAATTAGGCAGAGTTTTCACACATCTGAAAGCAGGCACCAGCTACCTGGCCTCTGTAGGCACTTCCCCTGTGCTGGGTGCCTGGTGAGGGCCCAGTATGCACTTTGTCATCCCAGGGACTGCAGCTGTAACTTTACAGGACTGTGGGCATCTTAGTGAAGAACCATGTGCTCAGCCTCCAAGATGATAGGATCTCATACCCCAGAAACCATTATGAAACATTCAGTTCACATTTGGACTGACTGCATGATCAGGTTTCCTGCTTCTTTGGTAATCAATGCTCCCTGATGTATCCTTTTGGGAGATAGCCAGGCCACCTTACCACATGAAGCCCTGGCATAGAGTCTAGAGTTTTCCTGCTTTGTCTTCAAGGGCAGTATTTACATTTTTTGAAATTATGGCTTGGGATAAAGCAAATGTCAATATCCCCAAATAGCCCTCTTCTCCGACCGTGCTTACCAGATATTGCCTTGTTTTAGGTCTTCTACTATCCTGAGTTTGTGCTGTCTGTGCCCTGACGGCTGGCCTTGGGCTGCCAGGGCTATTCCAGGCCTATGGGGCTTTGGCCAGATCTCAACCACCTGAATGTCCTCAGGCTGAAGCAATCTCTCACCCAAAATATTTCAGCAATGGAGCTTTAAACTGGTAATCATCCCATTGATACTTGCTGTCTAATGGTATCCCAGGATTTTCCAGCAAGGAACGCTCCTGGGTTTCTGTTATTGGAGGTTACGCATGCCATCATGTCTTGGCAAGGAAGTCCATATTCCCCGAGCTTTACTTTTAGGAGTATAATAACCATTTGTGTAAGTTAAACTCTATAATGGGCAGATCCCACGTACCCCTGTTATTCCAGTCTGTGTCCTGTCCTTTCAAGACACTTACTTTGTACCACGTTTCTGGCTTCCCTGACTTAAGCAACCTGTGCATGCTAAGTACATCTCTGTTTGCTGCCCTAGGGCAGCTGGAGCCCTCCAGGCCTATAGAGCTAGGGCCCATCTTCAACCTCCTGCATTGGAATGAACCCACCCACTGAAAATTACTGGAGGCAGTTGCTGAAAAGGGTGGCTGTCTGTCCCTGTGTGGACTATCTGCGAGAGCCCCTGGCTTCTTTAGCAGTCAACGTTCTCACGTATCTCCTATTAGAGGATACCTCAACAAGCCATCAGATTCAGCCCTGGCAAGGCAGTCCAGGTTACTCTAGCTCTGCCTTCAGTGGTGGTATGCACATTTGTGTAGGTTAGGTTGGAATTAGTCAGATACCTTGTAATTCCAAGAGTCCGTTCCTACAACTCAGTCTTCTGGACACTTGCCCTGTTCTAGGTTCCTGGCTACCCTGACCTTTCGTTCTGACACATGGATAGTGTGTGTCCCATCAGCTGCCTTTAGGCAGCAGGAACTTTTAAGGTATATGGGTCTAGGACCCATCCAGAACCATCTGCATTATCGCAAGGGGAGGGAACCCATCCACTGAAAATTGCCCTGACGAAGCTGCTGAAATGAATGTAAATCAGGCTACATAGGAAGTTGCTATTTGAAGGGACCCCAGGCTTAGAATTCTAAGAACTAAGACTCCCGGGTATTTCTTAATGGAGGATACCTTGTTCTGCCTGTTCATGCCTCTTCATCATGAGACAGTTGAAAAAAACTCCAGCTTTGCCCTCGTGGGGGATATTCCACAATGTGTAGATAAACCCTTGTGATTAGGCTGACATTTTGTACCCGTAGAAGCCTGCTCCTGTCACCTGGCCTCTTCAGCACTCGATCCTTTCCGGGTTTCTGGCTGCCCTGACCTGCTTGGCCCATGGACGTGCTGACCACACTGTCTTGTGGATCTCTGACCAAGCTCAACCACGACACAGCCTCCTGCATGGAGGAAGCCAACCCCCACCAAATCCTTCTAAGGGAGCAGCTGCAAATGGATGACAGTCCCCATTTAGACTGGCTGCCTACTGGGATCCCGGCTCTCTCCAGTGACCAGGGCTCCCAGTTGTCTCTTATTGGAGGATATCCTGGCCAGACTGCTTGGTTGCTCCATGGCAGGCCAGTTGAATAACCTTTAGGTCTGCCTTCATGGGGAATTCCCTATTTGGCTTGTAGGGCTTTCAATTAGTCATAAACCCTATCCCCTAAGAGTTTGCTCTTGTGCTCTAGCGTCTCCCAACTCCTGTCCTGTTCCAGATCCCTGGCTTTCCTGAATAGCACTGCATATGCATATGCCATATGCACACATTCAGCAGGCTTTGGACAGCAGGGTCCTAGAGTCACAGAAAACTAGGACTGGACCCAACCAGCTGCATAGCCTCCAGGAAGGAATGAGTCCACCCCTCAATAATCACACTGAGGCAACAGATTGCTGATCGTCCCCATTTGCACTTGCTACTTGATCAGGCTCTGGCTTCTTTAGCAAGTGGGACTCCCAGTGTGTCCTACTGGAGGTACACCTGCTAGACACCCAGCCCACAATGACAGAAGCAATGCAGTCTGCTGCAGCTCTGTCTCCAGGGGCAGCACGTGTATTTGTATAGCCTAAGACTTAAAATTAAGCCCATTCCCTGTTCTTTACACGTCTACACTTGTGTTCCTGACCCTTGCTACATTACAGATACCTGGCAACCCTGACCCCCCCCACCCCAGCACATGCATACACAGTACACACCCCTGTAGCAGGCTGTGGGTAGCCCAGGCTGACCTGGGAAACTGACCTCCCCCAACCACCTGCATGCCTCCAGCTTGGAGGGAGCCCACCCCCAGAAATCACTCAGAGGCAGCTGCAAATTGGCAACCGTCAGTCCCCATTTGGACTTCCTTCTTGATCCAGTTCTGGGCTGCTTTTGCATCCAGGGCTTCCAGGTATTTTTTATTGGAGGATACGTGAGCCAGCTGTCCAGCCCACCCTGGCAAGGTAGTCCAGTATCTTCTGCCATCATGAGGAATATGGGTGTTTGTGTAGGCTAGGGCTTACAGTTATGCCCATACCTTGTTCCACAAGAGATTGATCCTGTGATCTCGCCTTTCCAGACCCTTACCCTGGTCAAGATCCCTGGCACCCTTAAATGCACTGTGCCCATATGTGCAGTACATATCCCTTCAGCAGGCCTTGGGCAGCTAAAACTCTCCACACTGGGGAAGCTAGGTCCAAGCGCCAACCAACTGCATAGCTACCCAAATAAAGAGAGCCTACCCCCTGAAAAATCACTCTGAAGTAGCAGCTGCAAATAGGCAACATACAGTCCTCATTTGACTTGCTGCCTAATGGGGCTGGGCTTCTCTAGCAGTCAGGGCTCCCAGCTGTCTCTTCTTAATGGCCCCTCCCTAGCAAGTCAGTCGAGTGACCTTGAGCGCTACTATCAGAGGAAATTCCTCATTGCTTAGGTTAGGGCTTGTCATTAGGCATAAGCTTTTGATTGTCAAGACCTTGCTCTAACCATAACCAGACTTCCCCCTGGGGTTTCTTATTGGAGGATTCACCAGACAACAGCCTAGCCCAACCCGACAAGGCAGTCTAATATACTCCAGTTCTGCTTAAGGGGGAATATGGGCATCTGTGTAGGAAGGGCTAGCTTCTAGGCATAGGCCTGTCCCCCAAGAGTCTGTTCCTGTGGGCCAGCCTCTCCAGGTCCATGCCCAGTGGCTGCTTCAGAGTGATTTTAGGGGGCTGGGCTCTCCCCCACCCTAAGGCTGGTTCACAGGAGCGGGTTTTTGGGGATACAAGGTTATCTGCCTAATTCCAAGAACTGACCTACACAAATGTCCATATTCCACAAGAAGGCAGAGCTGGAGGAGTCTTGATGGTGTTGCCACATCAAGGCTGGATAGAGGGCCAGGGTACTCCAATAAGAGACAGCTTGGGAGCCTTGAATCCTGGAAAAGCCTGGGACCCCGCCAGGCAGCCCGTCCAAATGGGGACTTACTGTCAACACTTTAAAACTGCCACCTCATAAAGATTTTTGGGCTGTGGGCTTCCTCCACCTTGGAGTTACTGAGGTGTTGTTTTTTTTTTTTTAAGATTTTATTTATTTATTTGAGAGAGAGAGAATGAGAGACAGAGCATGAGAGGGAAGAGGGTCAGAGGGAGAAGCAGACTCCCTGCTGAGCAGGGAGCCCGATGCGGGACTCGATCCCGGGACTCCAGGATCATGACCTGAGCCGAAGGCAGTCTCTTAACCAACTGAGCCACCCAGGCGCCCGAGTTACTGAGGTGTTTACCATCCAGTCCGAGCTCTGGAGGGCCCCCAGTGGACAAAGACCTGCTGACACAATGAGGACTGCATGCACAGGTGGCATAGTTCGGGAGCCGGGGACCTGGACCAGGACAATGTCAAGCAAGGCTGGGTCACAAGAGGGGGCTATTACAGGTACCTGGAATCTACCTATTCCGTGCCTTAACCTAAGCAGATGTACTTAATTCCCCTGAAGGCAGAGGTGGAGGAATCTGGTTGTATGCTCTGAGATGCTTAGGAACCTTTGTTTTAGGAACCTTTTGTTTAGAGAAACCTGCGACCCAATCTCACAGCCAGTCCACATGGGGACTGACTAGCTCATTTCAGCTTCTGCCTCACAGCGGATTTTGGGAGAGGGGGATGGTTTCCTCCTCATATGAAGTAATGCAGGTGCTGAGGATTGCCCCTTACTCCACAGGCCTTGAGGGCCCCAGGTGTCCAAAGGTGGCTGACAGAGTTCCTACTGTGCAGGTGCAGAGGTCAGGGTAGCTAGGGACCTAGAACAGGGCAGGGGTATGGAGAGGTCAGGTCATGGTGTGGGCTCTTTGGGTTCAAGGCGTATGCCTAATTGTGGGCTCTACCTTCCCTATGAGGAATATCTCCTGAAGGCAGGCTGGAAGAATCTGGACTGCTTTGCCAAGGGGAGGTGGGGAGCAGGGGCTGGCCAGAGTATACTCTTAATTAGAGACACCTGGTAGCCTTGATTATTGGAGAAGCCCAGGATCTAAACAAGCAACAAGTCCAAATGGGGACTATCACCAATTTAAATCAGTCCCCATTTGGACTTGTTGCTTGATCGAGTCTTGGGTTTCTCATATTGAAGGATACCCCTGCAAGTTTCCCCAGCCCTTCCATAAGGAGGCAGTTGAGTAATTTGGACCTCTGCCTTCAGTAGGGAGTATTACCATTGAGCAGGTTACCACTGAGGGTTAGGTATATGTTGACCCCCGCCCCCGGCCCTGCTCCCATGACCTGGCCTCTACAGAGCCTTGCCCTCTTCCAGATGCCTGTCACCTCTGAACTGCACTTCATGTGCATGTGTAGCAAACGCCCCTGTAGCAGGCCTTGGGAAGCTGGGTCCCTCATAAGGGTTTCGGAGGATGTTGATGATTCAGAACCCTTGTGCACTGTTGGGAACATAAAATGTGGCAGCCACTATGGAAAACAGTATGGGGGTTCCTCAAAAAATTAATGATAGAATTACCCTATGATCAAGATATCCCATTTCTGGGTATATATCCAAAAGAATTGAAAGCAGTATCTTGAAGAGGTACTTGCACCCCCATGTTCATAGCAGTACTATTCACAGTAGCTAAGAGGGGGAGCAACCCAAATATCCACTGGTGGGTGGATGCATAGACGCAGTAGGATGCTAATCAGCTTTGAAAAGGAAGGAAATCGTCACATATGCTACAACATGGATCATCCTTGAGGATACTGGGCTAATCACAAAAAGACAAATACCATATGGCTCCACTTGTATGGGGTATCTGAAGTAGTCACATTCATAGAAATAGAAAGTAGAATTTTTCATTGCCCAGGTTTTGGGAGGGTAAGATGGGGAGTTGTTCAATGGCTATAGTTTCCGTTTTACATGAAAAAATACTAGAGATCTGTTGCACAATAATGTGGATATTGCTAACACTACTCAACTATATACTTTAAAATGGTTAAGAGGGAGGGCACCTGCCTGGCACGGTTGGTAGAGCATGTGACTCTTGATCTCAGGGTCATGAGTTTGAGCCCCACATTGGGTGCAGAGCTTACTTAAAAATATTTTAAAATTTTAGGGGCACCTGGGTGGCTCAGTCGTTAAGCGTCTGCCTTCAGCTGGGGTCGTGGTCCCAGGGTCCTGGGATCGAGCCCCGCATCGGGCTCCCTGCTCGGCGGGAAGCCTGCTTCTCCCTCTCCCATTCCCCCTGCTTGTGTTCCGTCTCTCGCTGTGGCTCTCTCTGTCAAATAAATAAAATCTTTAAAAAAAAATTTAAAAATTAAAAAAAAATAGGAAATTAAAACAATGTATATGTTTTTAAAATGTTAAATTTTCCTGCCTAACAGCCTTTGTTCCTGCTGTTCTTTTGGCCTGGAACACTCTTTCCCTTGCTTTTTGCATGACTGGTTCCTTCTCTGGTTTCAGCCTAAATGTTACCTCCCCAGAGAGATCTCCCCTGACAACCCTATCTTTTGAAATAGGTTCCCCATTCTCAGCCACTTGTTTGTTCTTTTCAAAACACCACAATATAGAATTTATGCTTTTCTTTCCTGCTGTACTCCGTGCTTATATTTAAGGCACACACCTAGTTTAGTAAGAGTTATACAATAAATGTCCAATATACTTTTTTGTGAATGAACAAATGAGTCTATATAAACTCGGAATAATAACATATGCCTCATGGGGTTGCTTCGAGAATCAGGTGCAGTAACATATATGGCAGAGGGCCTGGCACATAGTAACTCTAGTTTTAGGGACAGACATTTTTGTACCAGATGACCTTTCATGTCCAATCCAACTCCAAGATTCTCAGGAATGGTACAAGGGCCCTTTGCAAGGCAGAGCTGTGTGCATATTAGTAAGCAAAACACCTGTATTCTAG